TTCCTATTTCATTACAGTACATTGCATTTCAATGACAAGCAGCTCTTTGAGGCAAACAGAATAGCAAGGAGTACAATGCGCCTGCACTGTACAATACGTCAAGAGTCCATTAACATACAGCTGGGCACAAGATTTATTCAGTCAAGCATCTGTGCACACACGGAACAGATTTTGATAGGCAATAGACTTCAAATATAAAATATTGTGAAGTTCTTATGATCACTTCTTCCCCCAAAAATCTTCAGTCTATGTAACAAATGCTATTTATTACTAGCTGAACGTAATATTGGCTTCTCAAAAAAGACTCTGCTCCATGCAATTAGCGTCCATTTCCTGATGTATTTATTTGTTTATTTATTTACATAACTTCCACTAGTACAGATACTTAAAATCTTACATGTTCCAAACATAACCTGTAATACTCATGTCACTGGTCTTTGTAGTTTGCAACATGCGATGTTTTATACATAAAAAAGCTTAACTACTATTCGCCCCACGAGAAGTCTGCTAGAAAGAAGAAGCGGGATGATGTAGCAGGACTTACTGCGCATGCGCACTCCACCTATACCTTTTCCAAACACGTTGTACTCCAGTACTCTCTAGTATTGCAGAGCATTGTGTTTCTGATTAAGCTACGTATGTTTTGTGGAAAAGTGTTCCGTAATTACAGTTCCGACCAGTATACTGTCGCGAGCGACCTCTCGTTTACATAAAAACGTCGTTCACAGAGATCGTTCAAATGCATCATTTTGTTCGCGAGTTTCATAACAGGCAAGTCACACAGGACACATCCCGGTCAACTTGCGAAGCAGAGAGGAGTGCCGTGCTGCAAAGCGTTCTCGAGGCTCGCTTTGTATGACATGTTCACGAACTACCCAGCCCCACCCCGAAATACGTGATTAGCTGCGGTTCGCACTGGCATTCTGGACGTCGCGATTTCTAGTTCATACCCGGAGGCTGACGAAACGAACTGACGGTTTTGTGGTCTTCCTCACTGCCTGCAGGCAAATTCTAGCATAGCACGATAAATATGATATGATTTATCAACCCTCTCCCCCCCCCCCACATTGCTCTCAATTTGTCATTTACAAACAAGTTACCAAGCTACCTAAGCAGATTAAAAAAGCGTTCTTAAATAAACTAAAGAACTCGAACCCTCGGACAACAACTCAGCTACTATTCATAATACAGACTGATGCATTTGCCATACTGAACCATTTGCTGCATTATAATGATTTGCCAAGGCAAAGAGCAATTAAACAACAGAACTGGAAGTTCAAGATACGTAAATAGAGACAAGTAAGCTTACCATTATGTGTAGATGTTTCTAAAGTGGCCACTTAAACAAAATAAACTCCTTACAACAGCCTACAACACACGCAACACAGTCTGAAGGACACTGACACGTGCGGACACATTGCGTTTCATTCAGGTACTAAATGACAATGGCGCGGACACGAGTATCAGTTGAATCCAAAGAACAGTAGGTTCAAAGACACATAATTCGACTACGCAGTTTTTTCCAGTACCGCATAGAGTGCAGGTCTGGTTCTGGGGAATTCTCAGGTGATCGAAGCGAGGTAAACGTAAAAAGTGCAAAACTACATTTAAATTTCTATTTGATAGTAACAGCTTTTGAACTACTGAAATTAAGGATGTGAAATTTAATATGAAGACATCAACAGGACGACTCATCATCTTGATTATGGAGGCAGGAAGAACCTTTGAATTGTCGGTAAACTTCTGTCAGACTACACGGCGCAACAACCCAGAACACAACCATCGTCAGACTCACAGCCGTGAAAACCTCAAATCCGACGCAGTTCAAAGATGATTTAACATTTTTACGTCGTGTCTCTAAAATTACATTTTATCATGATTTATTCTATCCATACAGAAACATGTTATGTATTTCCATATAGTCTATTCTTGTCTATCCCTTTATTATTCGATGTCCCTCGAAACTGTAGCTATTGGTACAATTTTCCCTCCAGTGTTTTTTCCTCTAAGTCGTCCTTTTCTTCTGGAGATATCTTGCGAAACGATTCTCAGTTTTCATCGAGACGTCCTGAATTTTGTATATGCTCAGTCATTGAGATTGCACTATGTGTGGCATTAATAAATGTAAAATTATGACTAAATAGTATTAATTTGGCGTACGAAATATTTCACTTCATCTTGATATAAACTAGTGGAAATAGTATCGTCAATCTAAGAAACGATCAATCCACGTAAATGCATTTTTCCCATCGTTCTAGTTTTGCTTACCAATATTCCGGTTATAAAATGCAGCGATGTATTTTACGCTCAAGAAAGATATACTGAGTGTCCCAGTAAGATGTATATGCATATTATAGTACGGAATATTAGCATTGTTATCGATCTCCTTGTGTTGTGTTTACGAGAACAACCTAGTGTGGTCTATATTTAACAGATGGCACCACAATATCTTTTCCCATAATGTAAAATCTGACGTACGTAATGGTTTAGTTTATTGTCTTTATTTAATTTATTGAATGTTTTTGAGACATTCTATATGTTGGGACATGTAATAGCCCTATACATCACATTCTGACTGATGTTTTCTCTCTTGTTAACACCACGTTATACATTTAGGCAGAAAATGATCTTGAGGTCTGGACTGAAGCATTATTTTTCCGTTTTAAAACTGGTGGGGATGACAACTAAGAGACAGATGCGTAATGAGGTTTTAATGTTCCAGCTTGTTCACGCTTACTGAACAAGCTTTTGTCTTCGGATACTAAGAGAGGCCAGGATTTTCGCAGTCGCTTGGTCTGGATTAAAGAGAAAGCTTCCACGCTTACTGGAAAAACGGCGAAGTGAAGGAAACCGAAATTAATTAACAGCATTTCGAGCGCAGTCCTTTCCGACTTGCAAACGCATTAAACTCCCTGGAATGGAAATGTTCACTTCAGTGAAGGTTCTGCTTCTACACCTGAGTTCAGAAAGAGCTACTACAGCTCTCTTTGCTAACCTACCCAACAATGATACCACTGGCAGACACTACTGTCGAACAGGACACAACCTTCTTTACTTACATTATGGTTGTTGTATTCGATCATCATTCATATATAATAAATTTAAATTTAAAACAAATGAATATTATATACATATTTAAACACTTTAACTTTCATTGGATTCATAAAAGCTGCTAGAAATATAAAAATTACGAAGAATAATGGATGGGGAAGT